AAAACACAAAACATTAGGTGGGCGTGATGGCGTGCGCCTGTAATCCCAGCTGTTCAGGAGGCTGAGGCAGGTGAATCACTTGAACCTGGGAGGCAGAGCTTGCAGTGAGCTAAGAGTGTGCCACTGCACTCCAGCCTGGTCAACAGGATGAAATTCCATCTCCAAAAAAGAAAAAGAAAAAACACTGCAAACTTGGATTTAAATATAGTTTCAGATATTTTCTTTGTAAATTCAGATATGGGCTTAATTTGTGTTCTGCTCCCAGGGTCTCTCTTGGTAAAGGGGAAAAGGAAACTAAAGAAAATTACTTTGGATAGTTTATTTAAAACAATTTGGCTGCCACTGGCCAAAGTAATTGGCAACTTTGTTAGAGTTTACCCAAATATCTGAAGCAAAGGTATTTAGTACTTTAATTTTCCATTATGTTCATGGATGAAGAAGAGCATTCAAAACTCATCCAGACATATTAAAATGCTACCTAATATCAAGTCATTTCATTTTGTAGAAACATATTTCTCAGTGGTAGCTTTTGAGTTAGACTTGATCATTTCCTTACTAAGAGAAAGTAGTTGTCATTAATATTTTGAGGAACAACTATATGTGGACACAAAATTATAAGATACAAATATATCTACTCCTGAGCACTTTATAACATAATTAGGAAATGGGCTATAATTTAATTAGGTAGAGAAGACCCTCATGTACTTCTAACTGTAATGAGGAATAAAAGAGAGTCTCAAGGAGGCCCTAAAATTATCCATTGCCTTGAAGGATGAGCAAATAAAATCAAGAGAAAGGATCATGTTATATCTTGTGATAAAATTAGCAATTAACACCATTGTGTTGAGGGGACATGGATTGAACGACCCATGCTTATCCAAGCAAAATGAGATTAGATATTTATAAGTGAAACCATATTTCTGATGGACTTAAAATTCTTAAATTCTTAAAAATTTTCAATGAAGAATTTTTTTTTTTTTAACCTGGGAACATACACTTTATTTCTGTTACAGGTTCCATTACTTGCCCCAGCCCTAGTCAGCTGTGGGTATCACAGACACTCATAGGCAAGAATGGGGAGAGGCCTGCTCCCCCACTAATCACATCCTCAGTGTTGGCCAAATACCAGCTTGCTGGGTAGGCCTCCTGTGTCCACCAGGTGCTTCTGCAGGAGGGCCCAGGCTTTCTCCACCTGGCGCTGGGTGATGTGTGGCTTCCACAAGGTGCTGAGCACCACATGGCTCGGTTCCACAAGCTGCTGCCCGCTCTTCTGGTTCTGCAGCCGGTTTTGAGCCTCAGCCTCACTCAGGCCATCCCTCACCACAATGCGTTTTACAGCCTCAGTCTCAGGGATGACAACAGTCCACACTTTATGGACCAGGTTCTGCCAGCTGGCTTCAAGCAGCATAGCAGCATCAATCAAGCACACACGCTTACCCTCAGTCATAGCCCGATCCATCTCCTCTCTGGCCAGCTTTGTGATAATTGGCCACATAATGTCTGTGAGGATCTTCAGCTGCTTCTTGTTCCCAAACACCCGGCTGCCTAGGATCTTCCTGTTGATGATACCATTTTTATGGAGAGTATCTCTTCCAAAGGCCTCCACCACAGGCTGGTAGGCAGGGCCACCTAGGCATAGGCCCAATGACCCAGGTGGTCACTGTCAATGATAAACGCCCCCAGGACTTTCAGCCACTGAGTTATTAAGCTCTTCCCAGAGCCACTTATGCCAGTCAGCCCAATCACATAGAGACTCAGGGGGAGCTCTGGCCTCTCATATGAAGGCCGAAGCAGGTTTCCCAGCATTTGCTGATGGAAGCCGGAGGAGCTGACTTTGTCCTCTTCATTCTCCATATGTCTTAGGTCCTTCAACACCTGGACCTGGTACAAGGCAAGCTCCTCCAGATCTTTCTCTAGGCAGACGCGGTTGATGGCCATCCCCCCATGACAGGTCTCCTTGCTGACCACCAGGAACTCCAGGGAGGGGTCAAAGTCAGCGGGCCCATAGGGGTCCAGCAGGGGGACAACATCAAAAGTCAAGGAGGGCTTGACATCCACCAGGAACTCACTCAGATGTTCCACGCATTCTGTATAAGGTTGGAGCAGCTCACGGAGCAACTTGCTCTTCAACAGATCTTGGTCTGCTGTTCCCACCACAAGCTGCTCCTGGGCCAGGACACACGCAACACTGAGCAACACCTTGTGGGCATTGTGCAGGTGGTCAAACGTGTCACCCACAGCGCCACAGTAGTAGCCACACACTGGCTGCTTTGGAGACCTGGACATGGGGGAAGCTGGCCTGATCGTGGAGGGTAAGGGGACATGCAGGGGCCCCATGTGCACTTCTCCTGTCCCATAATCAGGGTATAGCAGCACTGAGGCCAGTCGCGGACAACAGCTGTAACAGCTGGTGGCATAACGCACTAGCTGCCATTTGACCAGGTTGTACTGGCTTCCAGCCAGGGTCTGGAAGTCTGTCAACTCGACTTCTGGTGGGTGGGTGAGATTCTGGACTGATGTGGGCAGGGGAGGGAGAAAGGTGCTGTTGGTTTGGATATTGGTCAGTAGGATTTTGACGTCCAGGTGCCTGTGGAAGCGCCAGCATAGAGGTGTGTGATGAAATCAAGAACCTCAAACATGGCCTGCATGGGGCTGGACTGTGGCTGAGCCGGGCCCTCCAGGCTCATGCCCGGCTGCAGGGGTACATAGTGTGTCATTCAGCAGCCGGGCCGCCAAGGTCAGGATGGGGGCCACGCGAGGGTCCAGGGAGGCCAGTGGCGTCGTCAGCACCAGGAGGCCAGACCATGAATAAAGCCATTCTGCCCAGGCCTGCGGACAGTCAGGGAGATGAGGCGACGGTGAATGAGGGGCCTGCAGCTGAGGGAGAGGTCTGCAAGGGGTCTTGGACCCCAGAGAAGGGGACCTGGAGCAGGTTTCAATGGTGATCGAGAGGAGCCAGAGGAAGGGACGGGGCCTGGCAGATGGTGCCTCTGCGCTTTGCTCTAAGCCTTGGTGTCCTCATTTCTCAGATGGGGTGGTGACTTCGCTGAACTGAGTCGAAATCCTGGGAGGCAGGAGCTGGACTGGAAGCCTTGTCACAGGGCTGGGGATCCAAAAATCCTGGGCCCTCTTGCTAAGCTGCATGAGGGTACTCATGGAATCGACGGGGGAGGCCAAAGGGGGCTGCTCAAGCTCACGTCGGCCCCCTGCTCACCGAAACCTCCGTCTTTTGGCTCCGCTTGCACCACCGTGGAGGCTGCCCTGGCTGCAGCCCAGAAAACTAATACAGCTTTAGAAATTTAGGATACTTGGGATCCTAAAATGACTGTTCATTGAAAACTCTTCCTAGACCAGATATAGAAAAGAAATGTTTAGCTCTTGAAGCATCTACGATAATTAAGATCAACTAAAAAGGATTACCTACACAAACTGGAAAATAAACCTCGGCTTAAGAAAAAATATGTATTCACTGGAAAAAGCTCACTGAATTAGAAAACAAAAATTAGCATTGAAAGAAAATCCTTTCCATCTATTTGTCTTCAAATGTATAAATAATTGTCAAGGAAGGCAGTATCTACTGCTTTCCCCAAAATTTAACAAGACAGAATAATGCCTTCAAAACCTATCCAGGCATATTAAAATGCTACCTAGTATCTAAATGCAATTTCTCTTAGATAAATTTAACCACCACAGTCCTAGAAGATTGCTAGTCAGGATCTATTCCCAAAACAAACAAACAAACAAAAAACCTCTTCATGTATTTAAAAAGAACTTCTCAAAGAAAGAAAAGGGTCTGGCTAATAGACATAGCTCATACTAATTATTTTTTAAATTGAACATTTGTTTACTTATATGCCTTAGATTGATAAGTAAAGATTGTATATATTTATGGAATATAACATACTTTGATATATGTATACAATATAGAATGGCTTAATCAAGCTATTTGACATATGCATGATCTCTCAGACTTATTTTTTGAGTAGGTATTTAACCTACTCTCTTAGAAATTTTCAAGTATACAACATATTGTTATTAACTATAGATACTATGATATACAATAGATTCATTAAACTTCTTTCTCCTGTCTAACTGAAACTTTTTGTCCTTTGACCAAGGTCTCCCAGTCCCCTCACCCCTAGCTACTGATACCGATTTTATTATTTTTCTGAGTTCAACTTTTTTAGATTTCACTTATAAGTGATATCATGCTATATTTGTATTACTGTGCCTAGCTTATTTCACTTAACACATTGTCCTCCAACTTCATCCATGTTGCTGCAAATGATAGAATTTCCCCCCCCCCCTTTTTTTTGTTTAGGCAGAGTCTCACTCTGTCACCCAGGCTGGAGTGCAATGGCACCATCTTGGCTCACCGCACCTTCCACCTCCTGGGTTCAAGTGATTCTCCTGCCTCAGCCTCCTGAGTAGCTGGAATTGCAGGTACATACCACCATGCCCAGCCAGTTTTTTTGTATTTTTATAGAGACAGGGTTTTGCCATGTTGGCCAGGCTCATCTTGAACTCCTGACCTCAGGTGATCTGCCCGCTTAGGCCTCCCAAAGTGTTGGAATTACAGGCGTGAGCCATAATGCCAGGGTGGATTTCCTTCTTTTTAAAACTTGAATACTATTTAGTTCTATATACAGGGTCTCATTCTTTTTTATGGCTGAATAGTACTCCATTATGTATATGTACCACATTTTTAAAAATCTATTCATCTGTTGATGAACTCTTACATTGCTTCCAAATCTTGGCTATTGTGAACAGTGCTGTGACAAATATGGGAGCGCAGATATCTCTTTCATACACGGATTTCCTTTATTTTGGATATACAACTAGTAGTGGGATTGCTTGATCATATGGTGGCTCTATTTTAGTTTTCTGAAGAACCTCTAAACTGTTCTCCATAGTGGCTGTACTAATTTTCCCACCAATAGTGTATGAGAGTTCCCTTTTCTCCACATCTTCATTATCTGTTATTGTCTGTCTTTTGGATAGAAACCATTTGAACTAGGGTGAGATGACATCTTACTGCAGTTCTGATTTGCATTTCTCTGATGATCAATGATGCTGAGCACCTTTTCATTTGCCTGTTTGCCATCTGTACGTCTTCTTTCGAGAAATGCTTACTCAAAACTTTTGCCCATTTTTTTTCATCAGGTTATTCAATTGTTTTCTATAGAGTGGTTTGAACTCCTTATATATTCTGGTCATTCATCCCTTGTAAGATGGTTAGTTTGTAAACATTTTCTTCCATTCTGTGGGTTGTCTTTTTATTTTGTTGATTGTTTCCTTTGCTGTGCAGAAGCTTTTTAACTTGATGTGATCCCATTTGTCAATTTTTGATTTGGTTGCCTGCAGACCAGTGTCTTGAAGAGTTTCTCCAATGTTTGCTTCTTAGTAGTATCATAGGCTGAAGTCTTAGATTTAAGTCTTTAATCCATTTTGATACAATTTTCTATATGGTGAGAGATAGGGCTCTAGTTTCATTCTTCTGCATATTTATATCCAGTTTTCCAGCACCATTTATTGAAAAGACTATCTTTTCTTCAGTGTATGTTCTTGACAATTTTGTTAAAAATGAGTTCAGTATAGCTGTATGAATTTGTTTCTGGGATCTCAATTCTGTTCCATTGGTCTATGTGTCTATGTTTATGCCAGTGCTATACTGTTTTGGTTAACTATAGCTCTGTAGTGTAATTTGAAATCAGGTAATGTGACTACTCCAGTTTAGTTCTTTTTGCTTAGGACAGCTTTAGTATCCTGGGTCTGTTGTGTAATTTTTAGAATTGCTTTTTCTATTTCTGTGAAGAATGTCATTGCTATTTTGATAGGGATTGCATTGAATATGTATATTGTTTTGGTTAGTACGGTCATTTAAACAATGTTGATCCTTCTAATCCATGAACATGGAATAGCTTTCCAGATTTGGGTGCCCTCTTCAATTTCTTTCATTAGTGTTTTATAATTTTCATTATCAAGATCTTTCACTTCTTTGGTTAATTGCTAGGTAATTGTTTTTGTGTGTGGCTACTGGGATTACTTTTTTAAATTTATATTTCACATGGTTCACTGTTGGCATATAGAAATACTACTGATTTTTGTATGTTGATTTCATATCCCGCAACTTTACTGAATTTGTTTCTCATTTCTAATAGTTTTTTTTGTTGAGTCTTTGGGTTTTTTCAAATAAAAGATCATATCATCTTCAAACAAGTATAATGTGACTTATTCCATTCCAGTTTGCATACCCTTTATTTCTTTCTCATCTGTTTGTTCAGATTTCCAGTACTATGTTGACTAACAGTGGTGAAAGTGGGCATTCTTGTCATGTTCCAGATCTTTGAGGAAAGGCTTTCAGTTTTTCCCCATTCAATATGATACTAGTTTTGGGTCTGTCTTTTATAGCTGTTGAGGTGTGTTTCTTCTATCCCCAGATTTTTCGGGTTTCATTTTTTTTAATCACAAAGGAATGTTGAATTTTATCAAATGCATTTTCAGTATTAATTGAAATGATCATATGTTTTTGTCCTTCATTCTGTTAATATGGTGTACCACACTGATTAATTTGCATATGTTGAACCATCCTGGCATCCCAGGGCTAATCCCACTTTGTCATGATGAATGATCTTTTTAACATATTGTTAAATTTGGTTTGCTAATATTATGTCGAGAATTTCTGCATTGATATTCATCAGATACACTGGCCTATAGTTTTCTTTCTATGATGTGTTTTTGTCTGATTTTGGTGTCAGGGTAATACTGGCCTTGTAGAATGAGTTTGGAAGTATTCCTTCCTCCTCTATTTATCTAAATAATTTGAGTAATATTGGTATTAGTTCTTTAAATGTCTGGTAGAATTCAGTGGTAATGTGATGAGGTCCTGGGCTTTTCTTTGCTGGAAGACTTTTTATTACGGCTTTGATCTTGTTACTTGCTATTGAGTCTATTTAGGTTTTGGATTTCCTATTTTTAATTTTTTTATTATACTTTAAGTTCTCGGGTACATGTGCAGATCATGCAGATTTGTTACATAGGTTTACACGTGCCATGGTGATGGTTTGCTGCATCCATCACCCCATCATTTACATTAGGAATTTCTCCTAATGTAATCCCTCATAGTAATCCTCCCCTAGCCCCCCACCCCCAGCCCCCAGTGTGTGATGTTTCCCTCCCTGTGTTTGTGTGTTCTCATTGTTCAACACCCACTTATGAGTGAGAATATGTAGTGTTCGGTTTTCTGTTCTTGTGACAGTTTGCTGAGAATTATGGATTCTAGTTTAATCTATGTCCCTGCAAAGGACATGAACTCATCCTTTTTTATAGCTGCATATTATTCCATATGGTATGTGTGCCACATCTTCTTTATCCAGTCTGTCATTGATGGGCATTTGGGTTGGCTCCAAGTCTTTGCTATTGTGAACAGTGCCGCAATGAACATATGTGTGCATGTGTCTTTATAACTGAATGTTTTATAACCCTTAGGGTGTATACCCAGTAATGGGATTGCTGGGTCAAATGGTATTTCTATTTCTAGATCCTTGAGGAATCACCACACTATCTTTCACAATAGTTAAACTAATTTACACTCCCACCAACAGTGTAAACACATTCCTATTTCTCTGCATCCTCTCCAGCATCTGTATCCTGATTTTTTAATGGTTGCCATTCTAACTGGTGTTAGGTGATACCTCAATGTGGTTTTGATTTGCATTTCTCTAATGACCAGTGATGATGGCTTTTTATCATGTTTTTTGCCTGCATAAATGTCTTCTTTTGAAAAGTGTCTGTTAATATCCTTTGCCCACTTTTTGATGGGGTTGTCTGTTTTTTTCTTGTAAATTTGTTTAAGTTCTTCGAAGATTCTAGATATTAGCCTTTTGTCAGATGGGTAGACTGAAAAGATTTTTTCCATTCTGTTGGTTGCCGGTTCACTTTATTGATAGTTTCTTTTGCTGTGAAGAAGCTCTTAAGTTTAATTAGATCCAATTTGTCTATTTTGGCTTTTGTTGCTATTGCTTTTGGTGTTTTAGTCATGAAGTCCTTGTCTATGCCTATGTCCTGAAGGGTATTGCCTAGGTTTTCTTCTAGAGTTTTTATGGTATTAGGCCTCATGCTTAAATCTTTAATCCATCTAGAGTTAATTTTTGTATAAGGTGTAAGAAAGGGATCCAGTTTCAGCTTTCTGCATATGGCTAGCCAGTTTTTCCAACACCATTTATAAAATAGAAAATCCTTCCCCCATTGCTTGTTTTTGTCAAGTTTGTCAAAGATCAGATGGTTGTAGGTGTGTGGCATTACTTCCGAGGCCTCTGTTCTGTTCCATTGGTCTATATCTCTGTTTTGGCACCAGTACCATTCTGTTTTGATTACTGTAGGCTTGTAGTATAGTTTGAAGTCAGGTAGCATGATGCCTCCAGTTTTGTTATTTTTTCTTCAGATTGTCTTGGCTATGCAGGCTCTTTTTTGGTTCCATATGAAGTTTAAAGTGGTTTATTCCAGTTCTGTGAAGCAGGTCAATGGTAGTTTGATAGGGATAGCATTGAATCTGTAAATTACTTTGGGTAATATGGCCAGTTTCACAACATTGATTCTTCCTAACCATAAGCATAGAATGTTTTTCCATCTGTTTGTGTCCTCTCTTATTTCCTTGAGCAGTGGTTTGTATTTCTCCTTAAAGAGAGTCCTTCACATCCCTTGTTGGTTGTATTCCTAGGTATTTTATTCTCTTTGTAGCAACTGTGAATGGGAGTTCACTCATGATTTGGCTCTCTGTTTGTCTGCTATTGGTGTATAGGAATGCTTGCGATTTTTGCACATTAATTTTGTATCCTGAGACTGCTGAATTTGCGTATCAGGTTAAGGAGGTTTTGCGCTGACATGATGGGGTTTTCTAAATATGCAATCATGTCATCTGCAAACAGGGACAATTTGATATTCTCTCTTCAACTACCCTTTATTTCTTTCTCTTGCCTGATGACCCTAGCCAGAACTTCCAAAACTATGTTGAATAGGAGTGGTGAAAGAAGGCATCCTTGTCTTGTGCCAGTTTTCAAAGGAAATGCTTCCTGTTTTTGCCCATTCAGTATGATATTGGCTGTACGTTTGTCACAAACAGTTCTTTTTACTGTGAAATATGATCCATTGATGCCTAGTTTATTGAGAGTTTTTAGCATAAAGGGCTGTTGAATTTTGTCAAAGGCCTGCTCTGCATCTATTGAGATAATCAAGTGGTTTTGTCTTTGGTGCTGTTTATGTGATGGATACGTTTATAAATTTGCGTATATTGAACCAGCCTCACATCCCTGGGATGAAGTCGACTTGATCGTGATGGATAAACTTTTTGATGTGCTGTTGGATTCGGTTTGCCAATATTGTATTGAAGATTTTTGCATCAATATTCATTGTGGATACTGGCCTGAAATTTTCTTTTTTAGTTGCATCTCTGCCAGGTTTTGGTATCAGGATGACATTGCTCTTATAAAATGAGTTAGGGAGGATTCCCTCTTTTTGTATTGTTTGGAATAGTTTCAGAAGGAATGGTACCAGCTCCTCTTTGTACATCTGGTAGAATTCTGCTGTGAACCCATATGGTCCTGGACTTTTTTTGGTTGGTAAACTGTTAATTGCTGCCTCAACACCAGACTTTGTTATTGGTCTATTCAGGTATTAAACTTCTTCCTGGTTTAGTCTTGGGAGGGTGTAAGTGTACAGGAATTTATCCATTTCTTGTAGATTCACTGGTTTCTCTGCATAGAGGTGTTTGTAGTAATCTCTGATGGTAGTTTATATTTCTATGGGATTGGTGGTGATATCCCCTTTATCATTTTTTTATTGCATCTATTTGAATATTCTCTCTTTTCTTATTAGTCTGGCTAGTGGTCTATCTATTTTGTTGATCTTTTCAAAAAACCAGCTCCTGGATTTATTGATTTTTTGAAGGGCTTTCTGTGTCTCTATCTTCTTCAGTTCTGCTCTGATATTAGTTATTTTTTGTCTTCTGAATTTATTTGATCTTGCTCCTCAGTTTCTTTTAATTGTGATGCTAGGTTGTCTATTTTAGATTTTTCCTCACTTCTCACCTGGGCATTTAGTAGTGCTATATATTTCCCTCTAGACACTGCTTTAAATGTGTCCCAGAGATTCTGGCAAAGTTGTTTCTTCATTCTCATTGGTTTCAAAGAACATCTTTATTTCTGTCTTCATTTCATTATGTATCCAGTAGTCATTCAGGAGCAGGTTGTTTAGTTTCCTTCCATGTAGTTTTGCAGTTTTGAGTGAGTTTCTTAATCCTGAGTTCTAATTTGATTGCACAGTGGTCTGAGAGACGGTTTGTTATCATTTCCATTCTTTTGCATTTGCTAAGGAGTGTTTTACTTCCAATTATGTGGTCAATTTAAGAATAAGTGAGATATGGTGCTGAGAAGAATGTATATTCTGTAGTTTTGGGGTGGAGAGTTCTGTAGATATCTATTAGGTCCACTTGGTCCAGATCTGAGTTCTAGTTCTGGATATTCTTGTTAATTTTCTGTCTCATTGATCTGTCTAGTATTGACATTGGGGTGTTAAAGTCTCCCACTATTATTGTATGGAAGTCTAAGTCTCTTTGCAGGTCCTTAAGAACTTGCTTTATGTATTGGGTGCTCCTGTATTGGGTGCATATATATTTAGGATAGTTAGCTCTTCTTGTTGCATTACTCCCTTTACAATTATGTAATGCCCTTCTTTGTCTCTTTTGATCCTTGTTGGTTTAAAGTCTGTTTTATCAGAGACTAGGATTGCAACTCGTGCTTTTTATTGCTCTTCATTTGCTTGGTAAATCTTCCTTCTTCCCTTTATTTTGAGCCTATGTGTTTCTTTACACATGAGATGGGTTTCCTGAATATAGCACACTGAGGGGTCTTGACTTTTTATCCAATTTGCCAGTCTGTGTCTTTTGATTGGGGCATTTAGCCCATTTACATTTAAGGTTAATATTGTTATAAGTTAATTTGATCCTGCCATTTTGATGCCAGCTGGTTGTTTTGCCCCTTAGTTGATGCAGTTTCTTCATAGTGTTGATGGTCTTTACAGTTTGGTATGTTTTTGTGGTGGCTGGTATTGGTTGTTCCTTTCTGTATTTAGTGCTTCCTTCAGGAGCTCTTGTAGGGCAGGCCTGGTGGTGACAAAATCTCTCAGCAGTTGCTTGTCCATAAAGGATGTTATTTCTCCTTCACTTATGAAGCTTAGTTTGTCTGGATATGAAATTCTGGGTTGACTATTCTTTTCTTTTAAGATGTTGAATATTGGCCCCCACTCTCTTCTGGCTTGTAGGGTTTCTACCAAGAGATCTGCTGTGAGTCTGATGGGCTTTCCTTTGTGGGTAACCCAATCTTTCTCTCTGGCTGCCCTTAGCATTCTTTCATTCATTTCAACCTTGGTGAATATGACAATTATATGTCTTGGGGTTGCTCTTCTCAAGGAATATCTTCCTGGTGTTCTCTGCATTTCCTATATCTGAATGTTGGCCTGCCTTGCTAGTTTGGGTAAGTTCTCCTGGATAATATCCTGAAGAATGTTTTCCAACTTGGTTTCATTCTTCCCATCACTTTCAGGTACACCTATCAAACGTAGATTAGGTCTTTTCAAATAATCCCATGTTTCTTGAAGGTTTTGTTCATTTCTTTTCACTCTTTTTTCTCTTATCTTTCCTTCTTGCTTTATTTCATTGAGTTGATCTTCAATCTCTGATATCCTTTCTTCTGCTTGATCGATTCGGCTATTGAAACTTGTGTATGCTTCATGGAGTTCTTGCGCTGTGTTTTTCAGCTCCATCATGTTGTTTATGTTCTTTTCCATGCTGGTTATTCTCATTAGCATTCCGTCTAACCCTTTTTTCAAGGTTCTTAGTTTCCTTGCATTGGATTAGAACATGCTCCTCTAGCTGGGAGAAGTTTGTTATTACCCACCTTCTGAAGCCTGCTTCTGTCAATTCATCACACTCATTCTCCATCCAGTTTTGTTCCCTTGCTGGTGAGGGATTGTGATCCCTTGGAGGAGAAGAGGCATTCTGGCTTTTGGTGATTTCAGACTTTTTGTGCTGGTTCCTTCCCATCTTCGTGGATTTATAACTTTGGTCTTTGAAGTTGGTGATTTTTGGATGGGGTTTCCGAGTGGGTGTCTTTCTGTTGATGTTGAAGCTATTTCTTTCTGTTTATTATTTTTCTTTTAACAGTCAGTCCCCTCTGCTGCAAGTCTGCTGGAGTTTGCTAGAGGTCCATTCCAGAGCCTGCTTGCCTGGGAATCACCCACAGGGTCTGCAGAACAGCAAAGATTGCTGCCTGTTCCTTTCTCTAGTAGCTTCATCCCAAAAGGGTACCTGCCAGATGTCAGCCAGAGCTCTCCTCTGTGATGTATCTCCCAGACAGGATACACAGGTGGGTCAGGGAGCCACTTGAGGAGGCAGCCTGTCCCTTAATGGATCTCAGGCACTGCTCTGGGGGCTCTGTTGCTCCCTTCAGGGCTGCTGGGCAGGGACATTTAAGTCTGCTGAAGCCCTATTTTTAATTTTTTGAGGAACCTCAATAATGTGTTATAAAATGGTTGTATCAATATACATACCACCAACAGTGCACAGAGTTTTACTTTTTTCCCCATTCTCACCAATACTTCTTATCGTTCATCTTTTTTATTGTAGCCACTCTGATGAGTGTAAGGTGATATCTCATGGTTTTTATTTGCATTTCCCTGGTGATTAGAGATGTTGAACATTTTTTCATATATGTGTTTTATTTTGATATGTCTTTTTTTGAAAAATGTCTATTTAAGTCCTTTGCCCATTTCTTAATCAGGCTATTTATTTTTGTGCTATTGAATTGTGTGGGTTTCTTATATATTTCAGATATTAACCCCTTATATACAGTTTGGAAATATATTCTCTTATTCTATGAGTTATTTTTTCTCTAGCGATCATTTGCTGTGCAGAAGATTTTTTAGCTTGATGTAATCCCATTTGTCTATTTTTGCTTTTGTAGGCTGTGTTTTGGTTATTTTGAGTATTACCCCTGAATATAATGGAACATTTTCCCTATGTTTTCTTCTAGTAGTTTTATAGTTTCAAGTCTTACGTTTAAGTCTTTAATCAATTTTAAGTGGATTTTTGAATATATGAGTGGAGGATCTAATATAATTCTTCAGCATGTGGATTGTCAGTTTTTCCAGCATCATGTATTGAAAAGATGACTATTTCCCCATTGTATTTTCTTGGCGTCTTTGTCAAAAATTGATTGATCATAAATGCATGGATTTATTTCTGGGCTCCCTCTTCTGTTACAGTGGACTATATATTTATCTTTTGTACGTTTATGTTTACTTGGAAAAGACAGTTACCCTCTCAGGCTTAATTTCTTAATCTATGAAATGAAGAAGGAGAAGGAAAAGGAGAAGGGGCAGAAGGACATAATGATGATGATAAAAGCTAAAGTTTATAAGGTAGTTAAAATTCCATTACTATAACTATATACTTAATTCTCAAACAAATTCTATGAGGTAAATATTATCATTTTATGAAGCCAGTATCGCCTTACTACCAAAACCAGGAAAGGACATAACAAAAAAAGAAAGCTACAGACCAATATCCCTGATGAACACTGATGCACAACTTTTCAATGAAATACTAGCTAACCAAATCCAACAGCACATCAAAAAGATAATCCACCATAATCAAGTGAGTTTCATACCTGGAAAACAGGGATGGTTTAACAAACACAAGTCAATAAATGTGAATTACATAAACAGAAGTAAAAACAAAAGTTATATGATCATCTCAATAGATGCAGAAAAAGCATTTGACAAAATCCAGCATCCCTATATGATTAAAACCTCAGCACAATTAGGACAGAAGGGGCATACCTTAATGTAATAAAAGTCATTTATGACAAACCCACAGCAACCATAATACTGAATGGGGAAAAGTTGAAAGCACTCAACTTTTTGGAACATGACAAGGATGCCCACTCTCACCACTCCTATTCAAAATAGTACTAGAAGTTCCAGCCAGAGCAATCAGACAAGAGAAAGAAATAAAGGGCATGAGAAAAGAGGAAGTAAAACTGTCACTTTTTGCTGATGATATGATTATATACCTGGAAAACCCTAAAGACTCATCCAAAAAGCTCCTAGAACTGATAAATGAATTCAGCAAAGTTTTAGAATACAAAATTAATGTACACAAATAAGTAGCTCTGCTATACACCAAGAGTGACCAAGCTGAGAATCAAATCAAGAACTGAACCCCTTTTACAATCGCTGCAAATAAATAAATAAGTAATACTTAGGAATATATCTAACCAAGGAGGTGAAAAACTGCTACAAGGAAAACTACAAAACGTGGCTGAAAAAAACTATTAACAACCTCTTTTTGTGTAAGGAGGCATTATACTTTGAGAGATTAAATAGTCTGTTTAAGATTACAAAGTTATTAAATATGGAGTTTTAATTTAAACCCTAATCTCTATGACTCCAACACCAAAGCTCTTAGCCACTGTGCTATTTGGATTTACCTTACTATGGTGTTGCCATGAAGATTAAATAAAATAATGAATGTGAAATAACATGGAAAAATGCACTTGTTATTATTGCATTTAAAAGACAACAATTTAGTCATTCTTTAGTCTTCTTTTTCCAAGTTATTTCACAGATATTCCAAGATAAAGCTACTATAAATTATCTCACTAACAAATAGTTGGGAAAATTTTTCTTCCAAATTATAAGACTGTTAAGCTTTCTTTTTATACAGAGATGATATCTGTAATCCACAAAACCAGATTTCTCATTGACAATAATTTTCTCTGCTTTGTTTAGTAGTATTGACTGATAAGGAGCATATGCTGATATGGAAACATAAATACCTGTTTGGGCCCAGTAAGGACTTGGAAAGTATTATGCATAAAATTGAAAAAATATAACATAACAAAAATATAATTAGTAGATTTGCAAATGTTGGATGAATCAATAAACAAAATGGAAGACAATTATAATTATAATGAGAGAATGTTTAACTAATTTTAACAATGTAAAAACAACATAGCTGATAGAAATGTAGAGGATGAGGAAGGGAGACGAGGTAAAGAGAAACACAGAGACATTATTTAAAGATAAAAATAGAAAAACCAACACTAAAAAAATAAATAAGAAGAATTGCAAAATGTAGTCTGGAAGGGGCAGTAGAGGGTAGTAATATAAGAGAGTAAATTTCCCATTATGGAGTGTTCGTTGTTTACAATTACTGTGTGAAATTCATAATTTTTTAAAATTAAAGTAATAGTATAATTTAGGATTTTAAAACAAGAGGAATCAATTACAGGAAGAGTTTTCAGTGGTCACTCAGGAGTGGGGGTTGTACTGTTTTGCTTTTAAGTTTATGCCTGTTGGCGTTACTTGAATTTTTATTTTTGTTTTTATCATTTCCATGTATTACTTTTAGAGTCATAAAATTATCACATAGCTAACCCAAAAGCAATCCTAGTTTGAATGCCAGACAATAAAAAAGAAAACTTGCCATTGATACCAGAATCAAGTATAACAGTAACAGAGATGAATACCTTAAATGTAATGGTCAGTGAAAAAAAAATCTATCTATCTATATATATATATTATATATACACATAAATTATATATATATATAAATTTTATACATATATATATATATATATATAATTTAAATAACATTCAGAAATGGGTAATCAGATTATATTATTTAGGATGCAAATAAGGTTGGTAAAACTAAAGGAAACCAAGTAACTGATTATTACCAAGCACAAATTATGGCCATCTTAGGGGAGGAAGGAACTGTGATCTGGAAGGGAAACAGAAGAAGTTTTTGGGGTCCCTATAGTTGTCTATTTTTTTTACCTGAGTGGTGGGCACTTGACACCTATTAAAAAAGGAAAACTATGGGCCAATTTCAATATAAAATGTTGCTCATACTTATTAGATTTCAAGAAAATTAAAATTTAAACCACGAAGATATACCTGCATACACCTACTAGTTTGCCAATGTGAGAGTTGTTAATATACCTATATTAAACATATATACATATAGTTTATAGTATACATATATGTAACAAATGTTTATAATCTACTCATATATAATAAACTCATATTTATGTAATATTTTATAATTTTAAAAAAGGACTTAATTTATCCCTGAAAAAAAAGACACCATCAGTCAGGTACTGCAGCTCACACCTATAATCCCAGAACTTTGGGAGGCTAAGATGGGTAGATCACATGAGACCAGGAGTTTGAGACCAGCCTGGACAACGTGGTGAAACCCCACCTCTACCAAAAATACAAAAAGATAAAAATTAGCTGGGTATGGTGGTATATGTCTGTAGTCCTAGCTACTTGAGAGGCTGAGGCAGGAGAATCAGTTAAACACAGGAGGCGGAGGTTGCAGTGAGCCAAGATTGTGCCATTGCACTCCAACATGGGCGACAGAGCAAGACTCTGTCTCAAAAAAAAAAAAAAA